CTGACAGACAGTGGCAGAATGGTGTGAGCATTGCCTAATATATGAACAGGGCTTTAATTATATAACAATGTTCTTAAAGATTATTACCTATTAATTGAAATAGTTAAATTCACAATTGTGTGATTATATACAGACGACTTAATAGGTGAATTAGTGGAAGCTCGCATCTGCAACACTCAAACGGTTCATGAAAAATCACAAACCCATCAATTTTAAGTTTGAAAATAAAGATCTAAAACCCAGTATCACACAAATAATCGTGATCTCCCTGGTAAGTCTAGATTGCCACTCCTAAGGGCTATGTTGTTACGCCATCGCACCTAATGTGGCTGACACCTTAATTTCAAAAATGTATAATAACTCTGACTACCTCATACATGAATAATATCTAAAACATATGTAAGTTTAATAGGAATTAATAAACTATTATCAATTTGAATATTCACAAAATATAATTATTTTGAATTTTGTGGACCACTGCGATATTTTTTACAACAACAGTAATTTTTACATTCATAAAAAGAATCATGAACTACCAGCCGTTCTCTATGGATAGTTTAACGAATTAAATGATAACCGTGGCCGTGGCCCGAGCGAAGGTTGTGACATTGACCGACACTAAGGGCGGTCACATACCTGTCGAATTCTTGTCTATTATTATATGTAGAATATAATGCTTATAGCATATTATTTATTTTTATACACGATTCGTGTTTAGAAAACTAACTATAGACATTATATTTTATAAGTATACTTTTACTTGTCCCTGTTAAACGTATACATAGTCTATGAGTTATGTTAATATATTTAATGAGTCCACATATTTAGTAATAAATAAATAACTCTGGATAATTAATACAGCACCATCTAACACCACGGTAAGCAGAGATTGTGTTATAGGTACTAGACAACTGATATAAAGACTTAGATTTTTTTGTAATACATAGAAAACACCCAGACCGATACAAACATAAATACAAATGTTTGCACCGTGTAAATCGAACCTGCGACTAATGAAAATAAGGCGGTGTGCTAAACCACTAGACCACCGAGGCTGTTATTCTACAGGTTCATTGTTTACCTTCACATTTATTGGATGGTAAGAAGTACTAGTATTTACCATTAATAAATTAATGGCCAACAGGTTAAAAATAATTAAAAACAATTTTCATAAAAGTAATGACGGGCTCTTCTTTGCTACTAAGGGAGGACGCCTCGAGGCGAACCCCTTTGCCCCGGCTGTTTACTCCAGTGGCGAACACCCCCGGGTCTCTTGATGTTTTGTGTGCATCCAGCACTTCTTTTAGCGCAATGTCTTAATTAACTATCTTTATTTTTTTTCTTAAAGTTTTGCGTAGTCTAAAAATTGCACTGTATAATAGATTCATGTCTTTATCTAAATAATGATTTAACATTTTAGATTGAAGTATGTTGCGTGTAATAAGTTGATTATGTATGTAAGTATATTTTACATAGACTGGTAGTTTTTGCTAGACAACATTTATACAAGTTCAAGCATAAGTGAAATGTCAGTTGCCAATACAGGATGTGATCGAACAATGAGGTTTTTTCGCGTTCTTGAGGTATTTTTTACGACATTTTACGCTTATTACAAGAATGGTTATATATACACAAAATGGAGTTCTATAATTGTTAACAAATATAGTAGTTCATTTGTGTTTTTTTTTTGTTTAAAGCAATAGTTTGAGTAAACGGTTCGGTAGATACGATAAAAACTATTTTGACTCGGATTTCCAACTTCATTAGTTCTTAATTCAAATTTCAGTAAACATAATACCTCGAATTTTCCGAATATTCTTAAATTAATTCTCGTTACGAAATATCATCTAATTAGCTGTTAACAATGGATATAAAGATACATTCGTAAAAAAATAAAATAGGTAACTTTATAGAATAGCTTCTTTTAATAATCATCGTGATCAAGATGTCTAAATAGGACATTTATATTTTTTTATCACTATCCCTACTCTCCAGTTCGGTTGTAATTGTACTTATACTTAATTATGATTCAGGTTAATAACGAAACTTATTAATACAGACCTATATAATATATCAAATCTGTGCTCGTAAGACAACAATATACTTATGCAATTCATTCAAAAATGAATATTTAAATTTAAAGAAGTTACATCACACTTACATGTCAAAATTGAATACCTTTAAGTAGTTGATTATAAAATTCTAAATTCAAATCAAGTTTTTAGGGTTCCGTTTCCGTTTCCGAAAGTATAAAAATACCAGGTACCAAAGTACACTTTGAAAAATGTCGTCTGGGTGGATATCCATGTCTATGTCCATGTCTGTTGAAGGGTGAGGTAAAGCAGTAAAATTACAGGTTGCCATTCCTGAGCCAGAATGCCGGAATGGCAACGCATGACTGGTATCACGGGAGTTACATCTTAATATGATCTTCATAATATTGTTCATGTATATAGCGCCACTAGCCATCGGGCCATAGACCCCAGTAATTACTATGTACCATGTAATGTAAAATTATATTTTTATATGAAATTTTAACAGAAATATATGCAGCGAAAAGAAGTTACAAAGAGACGACAGTTTAATTTCTTTCTTCACAGTTTCCGAAACATTGAAGTAAAAAGATGTAAATATAAATAGTGAAATGATTTTCTTTATATAATGTCTGAAGAGATCTTATTTTCATTGAAAATTAAATTTCCGGTAGAATTTCACTTGCCTTATTACCACTTCGTGCTGCCGCTGAATTGTCAAAGGAATCCTATTAGAAAATTTCTGTGAATTAACTAATATAAAACTATAGTCCTCTTCTATCCACGAACAGCGAGATTGACTGAGAAATCAACTGTCAATTGTCTATTGTCAATTGTACATTTTGTGACTGTGAGTTAGTCACAAAATGTACATACATACGGAACTCATCTATAAGTTCGGAATGGGCGCTTGGTATTTTTTTTGCGAATACATTATGATCTAATATCATTTATGTATCTACTTATATTCTTTCGTAAGTGAAATTATAGTAGAACCAGTAGGTCGACAGTAATCAATAACTTAGTAGTACAATCATTATACACGCACGCTTTAGGAAATAGAGCGAATAACATTGATAATATACGTAATATACTGAGTATTTTAAATAGACCGTAAAAATAAAATTTTTCACTGTAATTACAATATTTATTGAGCACATCGGTACCAAATAATTGAATTACTTGTTTCTTTTGTGTAAAACAAATTATAAAATACGAATACATAATATTTTAATTTTCATTTCTACAATTGATATGAATTGGTCTCGTGTTAATTATATCATATTTGTATATTGATTATTTAGTGGAAATTTAAATGTAAATTGCAATTTAAATAGGTATTCATTTTGAATTATTCTTCAGGTTATTATATTATAATATACTAGTTGTGCCCGCGGATTCAGTCGCATGAAATTTATAGCCTATACGTTATTCTGATGTATAAGTCCGTTCAGTAGTTTTCCATGAAAGAGTAACAAATATCTATCCATACTCAAAAACGTTCGCGTTTATATAATAATATTATAAGATAAGATTACTATATCGATTTATTAAAATAGAACAATATGCTGTCTGATATTCTAATGGATATCCATCCGTCACTTTAACCTATTAAAAATGAGACTAATTAGGTACTAAATTAAAAAAACTCTAATATTTTTAAAATAGTTTTACTCTTCCGTATGTTCTATTTAGTTGCGAATAATAATAATAAGCATTTACGCGCGTATGTTTTTTGTTATCTCATGGTCATCATCATCTTAATGAAACTTAACATATACTTAGATGTCTTAGATGGATAAGGACATACGAGCAGATGTTTTAACACAGTGAAACGGATGAGGTCATGGATAGAATCTAGTATTGATGACCGAACAAACGCATCTTTTTGGTTATAAAATATTGCACCTATTCTATTTATTGTACTGATTGTCCTGTTCTATAATAGTTAATTCTTTCTTAATCTTTTCTTAACTTGACGTATAGTGACAAAATGCTAATAATTGGCAGAAAGAGGTTTGTAATAGGTTACAATTGTTTTGCATACAAGAGAGCTTACGATAACATCGTCTTTGGTTGAAACTTGCGTCCTAGTCATACTGGTGCGGCTTGGTCTATGTGTTAATAATTACAGTAAAATAGTATAAATATCGATAAAAAGTGAAAATTATTTTGTTGTGTAGGAAAACGTGGGTACAAATTTAATATTTATTTAATTTGTACCCATTTAATGTTTGATGATATTAAACTATATGAAATCCATAAAAAGATAGGCTAATACAAAATAGTAATTTAATATTAATATATAAAAAATATCCTTTTTATTATACAGTGAAATGAGTATTTAATTATTTAATTTATTTCATTAACAAAACATCATATATATTAAAAAATCAAATTATCGAAGTTATATTTAACTATCAGAATTAAAGAGTTAACAATTAATACGTCGGTTCAAACACAGTTAAAATTTAAGGATTCATTGGTTAATATCAATATTGTATGTCTTTTATGTGATTGATGAATTTGATGATGGAAAGACGATTAATATATCTTTAAAAAATACCTTTCTCCGCCTATGCTAATTGTGATGAATGTTTTAAAAATTATAATAATGATTGTTACATGTATGTAAGATTATAGTTCTATTTTTTATGGATAATGAGAGAATGATGAATTAATATATACTTATGACCCAAAGCTATACCGACAGCAAATATGCCATTTTACTTAACATAAGTCTTATTCACATAAGAAGATGTCAAATCTGAATAGAGGATTAAATGTAAAAAATCCCGTAATATTATAGTAATTAACAATGATCTTAGTAATATAGATAATTAGAAATTCGCAAAGCTGAAAGCGTTATGAAATCGCGATGCTTGAAAAGAGAAAATCAATTTAACACACGCTAGTAAAACACTCACGGTTAAAACTATATAAGTAATATGCGCGCGCGCAACTTACGATCTCCGAAGTGGAGGCTCCTAGACACGCGCGTACGACCACTGACTTTGCAAACACTGGCTGCAGTTGGATCGGTGGCACAAAGTCATTCCCCACTCGACAGGCTTTCTTCCAAGCCTCACACCATCCTACAAGACATGATCCGTGTTGCCCGAGATATTACGGCCTTACCTGATAGTACCATACCGAAATATGTATTCATTCGTTCTCGGATATGTTACTAATATTGTTTTCAGCTGGTAATAATAGTCTTTTATTTTTCATAATTTTTTTTCAATTCATAATTTATTTGTTTCATTGCTTCTAATTTTTCTAAATACCAATTATAATAAATAAGTTAGGATATTCATTCGTATTTCTTATTTTGATTCTATAAGTTTTTATGCGGGTTTATAATGATGGCAATAAATATGTAATTTAATAATTTATGTCATCAATTTTAGGAACTGCAATCTGTATTTATTTTAGAATGTAATTAATATATTCAAATATTAATATATATTTTATTTATATGTAATTTACCCTTAAAAAGTCATAATAGTTACTTCATTCGCATATTTATAATTTTCAATAACGTGTCAATTTTCATTTTCAATTTTAAATATGCTATTTAGTATAGATTTGAAAATTAAAAATGAAATTTCGTACAAATTTAGTACCTATATGGACAATTTGAAAGTACTTTAAAAAAAATAACACTGGCTGCATGAAGCAATTTTTTAAAATTCAATAATAAATTTCTGTACATATAAGTTAGTTAAAAATGGAAAATAACAAGGCCCAGCCATAATTTACTATAGTAAATAAGCATTTGAGATCTTTTATTGATTGATTGATTTTCTTGCTGAATGTCAAATATACCTATACATGTAGTACATAGCGTTTGTTTTAATCTAACTAATTGCTTCATTGAATTACTGACCACCGCCCATCACGCATTCCAATACATGTACATCCGCTAATTCGATTGGGGAATAATTAATGTAATTATTCTAGATGTTTAGTTACATCGATTATTCTGAAGATCTCTCCTTAATAATTTGTTCAGAAGAAACGAAACATTTAAGTTAATACGTTAACAGTATAATATCAATATTTTACATAATGCTATTAATTTCAGTATATTTTTAATTATCTTTTTTAATACTCCAACTTTATTGGCTTTGTGGTCTAGAGATTAAACACAGTGCTTTACTTCCGATGGTCGCAGTTACAATTACTCGTAAAGTGCAAACTTTTGTATTCATGAGTATGATTGTTTGTATCCGTCTGGGTGTTTGTATGTATTTAGTATTTACATTAGTTATCTAGTGCTCTGAATATAAGCTCTGCTTACCGTCGGATTAGATGGCGTTATCTTAATTGTTCAGAGTATTCATTTATAATTATTTAATAGTATCAATTATATCATAGTCATTAGAGAAATGACTGACTAGTTAAAAATACTGTTGAAGTACTTCGTCACTTTCTTTATTTTTTTTTATAACTAGAATCGCAAACTAATTGACATAGTTAGTAAGTGATAAGTTAGTTTTAGTAAGTGGTAATCGTCATCTACACCCATGTACAGTACCACCAATATGACATCACCATGTTACGCCAGTCATACCACTCATGCGTACGAGATGGTCGATAGATTGTTACTAAAGGGTCTGCCACTACTGGCCTCGTTGCTGGCAACGTTCTTATTATTTATGGCAGAATATCCTAGTTTGGTCCTTTTCAGGGCGGAACAATACGCTGAGCCACTATTCTGTTACTGCGGCGCAAAAATGATATCTAGACAGATATCATTTTTGTTGTAAAGTTTGTTTATTGTTTGTTGTATAAAGTTTGGAGAATAAGAACATAACTGTTTTACAGATAGAATATTACAGTTTGAATAGTAATTGTAGCTTAGCATTAGTCACACAATAATATTATTCCAAAATGTGTGTTCCGTAACGTCCGTTTTGTTTTTTGAAGTGTAAAATAATATGTTTCCGTTTATATAACACATTTACTTTTATACATTATGTTCTTGAAATTTAATACCGTTACATTTCACTTGTGAAATAATATTTGAATTAGATGTATTTATTCTATATTTCAATATGGAATATTTACGGTTTTTATTTGTTAAATTTATACATAGAGGTACATATTTTTGTATTCTTTTCACAAATATAGTATTTATGGAGGCGTATAATTGGTAATTAATTGGTTCTGTCTATCTTTTGGTTGCCTTTTCTCAAATAAATTGTTGAACATATTTTAATGATATTTGATATGAAGATAGATCATAACGACAAAAATAGGCTATATTTTATCTTAATGAGAAACACACGGAGTCACGATCTCCATCTAGTGTTGTATATTTGATTTTACAAAGACCTAACTGTCAGTAGATACCAATTCCAACAACGTTTAAATGGATCCAACTCGAGAACTATTATCGGCTAAAAATAAAATCCTGGTAACTTATCCTTATTCAGTTTCCGCGAAAATAATAAGTAAAATCGCAGTAAATATTTTATTGACAACTTTGTGTAATATATGAATACAGTGAGATATAAACACAAAATAATTAAAAAAGAAAGTACACTGTTTTTACTATTTATATTATAATTATATATTGTGTATGATAATATTAAAAATACAACGAACGAACCAATCCTTTGATAAAGTGAAAACCTTGACAAAGACAAAAGTTGACAATACTATTTCCTATATTGATAATAATAATATGGGTAATAGAAAATTTAATTAAAATATAATATACTGAACTATGAGAAAAAGAATTAAGCATTTTCATTAATTTAATTAAAGTGGCCCACTTTAAAATAACACAACACAAAATATATATTACTTCATTTAAGATAAAAATATATGTATATTATTATAATATGAATATAACATTGAATATTCACCACAGTTAACTTGAACATACTTAACAAATCACTATCGAAAATTAAATACACAATAAGTATAATATCACTTTATTATACTGCACTAACTGTATACTAAGTAGTTCTTGTATTCCTACAAATATTGTTTATATTAAATAGCCTAACTCCTTCTACATATACTTTGAAGAGATGTAAAGAATTTCTTAATTCACATCTATCCTCTAAAAAAAATGCGTTTATGTTTGGCAGGCAGGAGTACAATAAATTATAATAGCTTTAAAAATCCAATATAATAATTCCATATAATTATCAAACTGCTTTACGAATCTATGACAATAGTCGTTATTATGATTCCACAAATATGACATTTACTAACTATCACAGTGTACGGAATGTACGAATTTCCAACTATCCCACTAAACAGAGTCGGCATGAATACTATTTAATTAATGTGTAACTTCATGTAGCTGTTGACACTATAAGCACTAAAATGGCAAGCAAACTGTCATTGTGATCATGCAGTACAAAGGTCTGCCATTAATATCGTATAACCAATCTTTATAAAGGAACTCGTGTTGAAAATATAGTATTATATTAACAATATAAAATATCTCACGTTGAAAATATGCTATAGTATAATAGATTACAGAGTTAAAATGTATGCTAAGCTGTAATTCTTATGATCCGAGAGTCCTTTTTTTAGTAGTATGAATGGTAGAGCAGCTAACGGCCCACCTGATGGTAAGTGGTAACCATCGCATGACATGAATAGCACTACAGGTTACACGTTATTATGTGATGCCCGTGATAACACTCATACATTGCTATTTCGGAGGACAAAGATGGCGTGACTCTGTAATTTCACTGCCTAATCCAACCGAAATTTTTATTTACAAAATCTATGTTTTCAAAATGATTTGGTTAGAAATATAAATAGACACAAAGTTTTTTTGTATCAGCCAGATTCAAACTTACGACATTTCCGTCTAATACGAGATCAGTCAACAACAAGGTCACGACTCTCACATTCATTTTAGACAAATTGAATATTGCCAGATTGGATTCAGACTTTTTTCTTTTTAATTTGAAAGTACTTTGAAATATTGTAGAATGTAAATACTGCCCTTTCACTTATTAAGTTTTTACCCAAAGGTTGTCTGGAAGAGATTGCTTATCAATAACACCGTCTTTTGTACTAAATTATTTAATTTAATCTTATTTCACATCTATGTTGTATAATAATTACATACCAAGTACTATTATAAATTATATTCCTACTATTATTAACGATATAACTAACATCTATCCGTACAAGCGTAGCTGCCTCTGATTGCTCATTAGATGTATCGTTAGTTTGTTGTAGCGTACTAATATTACTCGTAACTGCATTGCATGATCCTCTGTAATAGTGATGTAGGGTGTGCCGTGTACTGGGGCGTATTCTAAATTCTAAGATAAACCTTTATTAGAATCTACCGTTTTGTTTAAGTATAGTGTATAGTATATAAAGTATAGTTAATATATAAATATATAAACGTAATGTAATATATAAATATATAAAATATATTTATATATTCGATTAATTAATAACGGATTATTTTTCACAGACAATTTTTTTCATTACTTTTTCTATTCAAGTCAAAAAACAAGATTAATTAAAAAACAATTTTTATTTAATCGACTATTCTACTAACAAAAACAAACGATTAATTAATAATGTTTTTACAGAGAATGTCACATCCCTAGTATCAGGAGGATTAAAAAGTCCGCTTTAAACGAACCCCAATAGATTTGCTTCATTATAAGCTGTCGAGTTTTAAAGGCTTGTAGCGGTGATCGCGTAATATTAACTGACGTACAATTTTCATCGTCGTGTTAAAAAGATAAAAACAATGGAAATCCTATTGTAATTCGTATAAAATGTTTAACGTTCTAGGGGTAAAACGCGCATATTGCCATAGAAATGAAATATTTTTATGTTCTTTTTGGACAATTCTATTCTGCATTTCACGAATATGATGGACAAACAAACAAGAAACCTGCTTTAAAATTATTGTTAAAATACAATTTGTTATACAAGTTGAAGTCAGTATAATTTGGCAAAGATATAAACCTTTCTTGTTCTTGAATTTGACCAATAGTATTAGAGTGAAGTCGCAATTAATTAAATTGCGACTTCATCTGTTTTTTT